ATTCTGATACTCTGAGCCGCACAATACTCTTTGAACCCACCATCCATGTGCTTATCACCATTGTTAGATTCAAACATTTCAATGTCAAACATGTCTCTGTCTCAATCATGACATTTCAAGTCTTAATTATATTAAATACATCAAATTTATGCTTCAAGAAGTAAACTCATATCTTCTTATTGTGACCATCAATGAACGTGACATAGTAACGAGAGCCTCCAAAAGATGTCATGGAGAAGGAGCCCACACATCTGCGTGTAAAAGTTTCAATTTTCTTGTCTTTGACGCTCTGCCACCTTTCAAGTAACTCACCTTCTGCTTCTCCATAGTGCAACTCTCATGCATGCTGAAATCAACTGATTTCAGTCCTGGTAACTTGCTTCTGCACTGAAGTTCTTTCAGACCCCTCTAACTCCTGTGGTCAAGTCTGTAATGCCACAAATCTGTTGTGATCATTACAACGGTAGTAACAACACCGTTAATTGAACCAGTAGTCCTATACAGTGTGTCAATTTTCTTATCCCGGGCCAATACTACCCTTTTGTAACTTTTCAGGAGCTATCTGAAAACACTATTGAATAAACACTCCCATCGAGCTGCCCAACAGAAATGAGATTTTTTTTCAACTTAGGAATGTGTCTGTTACAAAGTCCATTTTCTCTTGTTAGGAAGTGTAATGTCAGCACCTCTCATCTCTACCACGTTCAAAGCTTATCCATCAGCAGATATACCTTCCCAAAATCACCTGCAACATAATTTCACATTAACTCCCTGAGAAAAGATGTATGGAAGGAAGTCTCTGAATCCAGTATCTAGTCATCAGCAGAACTTTAAACTGTCAGCAATAATGCATCATGCACTTCTTCAATTACAACATTAGCACTAGCGCTCTATGTCTTCTTGGGATTTTTGCAGTTCTTATTTATATGTCCAGCTTTGTCACTATTCCAGCAGGTAGTTTCTTGGTCAGGTTTTGACTTGCTCTTGCCTCTTTATTTTGATTTTGATTTCCCTCTGTTTGAGTTCATGTCTCATGATCTCCCTCTGGAATCAACATTCAGTGATAAACTCGAACCAAAGGTCTCGCCATTATCTTTCATGCGCATCTCCTCAGCCAAAATCAAAACACAAATATCATTATATTTCAGCTTAGATTTACCTGCAGAATTATTAACGGTCATCATCTCGGCTTTTCAACTATTTGATAATAAAGCATACAATATCAGCGCACGTATTTAATCAACAAATTCAATTTCAACAGACGATAATTGATTTATAATAGTATTAAAATCATTCAGATGTTGTGCAAGAGCTGTAACATCCACCATCTTCAAATTTAATAACTTTTTCATCAGATACACATTGTTATCCGCTAATGGATTTTCATACATACTTGACAAAACTGTCAAGAAATCTGATGTTGTGCAAAAACTGTACCATCCACCATCTTCAAATTTAATAACTATTTCATCAAATGAACATTGTTATCCGCTCATAACTTTTCATACATACCTGACAAAGCTGTCATGAGATCTACAGTCTTCCTTTCCTTGATGTTATTGTGTGCAACAGATCTCAACAGAGTTAATCGAATAACCCTCAGAACTTGTCGATCTAACAAATTCTATTCAGCCTCGTGCGGGAAAAAGAAATAGACAGCGGGATCAATAGCCGTTACTGGCGGGGAGATTAATGAATTCCAAATATAGAGAGAGATTAAATGGAAAACATTAAGACCTGAATTAATTTTAATTAAGACAGAATTTAAATAATTCATTTGAATTTTGAAATTTGAATTTCAAATTCAGGTGAGCCGGTGTCTAGCCCGTGTTCAGCCCGAGTCCAGCCTGAATCGAACCCGAGTCGAACCTTGGTTGAGCCCGGGCCCGCGCACTGCTAAAAAGGTGCATTGATATCTGTGTTAGACGCTCGTGCGCGAAACTATAGAGGCATGGGTGTCCCTCCTAGCTAAAGTCAACGTTCCGGACGCGTCGGCGCGGTCCGTTTCGTCATCTGGGGTCGTCTGGACGAGTTTTCCAGCGAACAAGTCAATTTAAGCCAAAATTGTGTGTGGTGCGATGTGTGCGCAAAATGAGGTGTTATCGAGCGTTCGGGTCGCAAAGAGGTTCCCTAAGGGCTGCTCCTATTAATGTAGGAACTCAACTCGAGTTTCATGTGTCGATCCTAATCAACTCAACGGAATGCCGCCGATGATTTAGGACCGCCCATGCGAAACTCGAAGGAGTGACGAGATGGCTCGAATTTTCTAAATGGTGTGGGTTCCGTACTGGTCTTCTAGGAGGGTCAAACAAGAGAAGCCTAAAGCTAGACCCTAGGAGAGAAAAAGAGAAGTGAAGACCTCATCCGAAAATTAGGTCAACAATGGAGTAATTGTGTAATTATGGTATTGTTTTTGTATTCTTGGTTTGTGTTGAAAAGAATTTCTTATGTATCTTGATTTGTATTATTTGGTTTGATAATTGTAAGACAAAATCAAGTTTGTGGGGTAATCACTTTTTAATGTTATTTTGATGTACCTTTTTTTAGTTCTAAATGTACCCTGCACTTTTCTGCTAAAATTTTGGGGGCAAGGGTTCCTGGAAAGAAAAAAAAACTCCTGCACTAGTTGAGAATTGAGAATTTCCACTTATGGGAAGATCTTATTAAAGAAGCTATGTTAATTTTGGAGATGCAAGAACATAGACACATAAATCTGTCGTTTTTTTTTTATTATTTTATTTTCTTGATAGAATTAATTAGAGGATGAGGTTTTATCAAGCTTTTTCACATAAGATTCATAAATCTTGACGTCGTTTATTCTTTAGGAAAGGTAGGGTGGTATCTACCCAGTTTTTGTGAATACTTATAGTTGCATTTCAGCTTTAAGCATGGATTGTTGTCGCAAATTGGATGAGCATGACTTGTATTTTTACACTTTTTCTGTACTTGATGAACCATCATAATATTGCAAATAAAAAGTTTAATATGCCTTGCCTTCTATTTTACAAACACCAGTTTCAGTTACAAAGCTCGAAGTCAGAAGTCAAGTTTCCAATCAACACACTTTGTTTTCCTTCAAAGTCCTAAATCCTTAACCCTTGTAAACAAAACATTTAAGCAATAATTATGGTTTCCTTCAAAGATCAATTCAGAATTTTTTGTTTAATTTGAAGAAATATGTAATTTTTTTTAAGTTCTTTCGAGCCAAACTGAGGCAAAAATGAATAAAAAATGTAAATAGAGTCGAGCATGAAAATGCCGCTCACAAGTAATTTCAAACACGAAAAATAATTTCAAACGAGTTGAGCCTGAGCTCACTCAAGCTTGATGCGGCCCTAATTCTTTTCAAATATTGCAACTACAAAGATGGAGCACAATAATGATGATCCTCATGATCATGATCATCTTAATGTTTAAAATTTTAATCTTATAGTTTATTTCCTTGCTTAAGTTATCTAAAAATGCAACCAAAAAATAAAACTCTGCCCCTTTTCCTTCCAAACCTTTTGATAATAAGTCGACCTTAACAGTACATTTTCCACCTATAAATTTTTCTTGAATTCACAGCTACTTGAAAGGAGCTTCAACAAAGTGCACATCACAATTTAGGATCATAATTTCACATTATTTCTCCAAATAAAATAGCTTCCATTACAACATATCTACTGGTGGCATGCCATAATGACTTTTCCAATAACGAAAAACAAAGAATAACGTTAGAGAAGAAAACAGTTTACATTAAGTATGTGGATGGTCAACCAATTGAATTTTTTAAGACTATGACTTATAATATGGTTGAATGATTCAAAATCAATATGATGCCACCATACAGTCTTATTATAATATCCAAGCGATTCAATAATGCGACTATCAAATGTTGTGGAACTGGTAGGATTTCTAGGGTTTTTTACGAGTCTTGCAAAAATTGAACTTTCTTATGAGATCAAAAATCCAATGCCTTTTCCATATTGATGTCAAGATGACAGGTTACAATTTAACTGACCATCAAAATCATAATTATATTTTTTTGCATTCAATCCCTTCTTCCCTTGGCTTTCCCTCTATATATCCTTGATATTTTATATATGCTTAAGATTTAAACAGTGATAAATTTCACTATTATTATCAAAATAATGAACAAAACAAGAAATTCCATATTTCTTCCCTGTACTGTTGTAGGTGGCTGTACATGCAGATTTGTTGAAAGATGCTCATCATCCAATATGATATCGACGACCAAGGAAGACAAAGTTCATCAGTGGTCAGCGCTACTCTTGAGAATATGTGCCAACAAATATGAAAAGATTTTGAGAATGACCAGCTATAGTCATAGTCATCTAATTTCTCATTAAAAAAATTAAAAGAAAATCCATTGCAATACAAAAAAATACAAAAAATAAGAAAATATATGATGAATCCAATATATCTAGATAAGTTATCTAATCAAACAAGTCATTACTTAAATGCATATAACATTAATTTGATAACAGAAAAAAATTATCAAGATAGAATGAGGGAATATTATTCAAAATCCCCCTTATAATTGGCCGATCATGGAAAGAAATGGGGAAACAAATATGTGGAGTCCAAAGTGGCACATCCCTTGGTTCCATGGAGTTGGAAAGCAGATTATTTTCCCTCTTATTTTTATTTTGGTTGTTGGATTTGTTTAACTGAATTAAGGCCTCACCATAAAACCATAGAAGCCCTTGCTTGCTTTAGGCTTATATAAAACCTACTTGCCAAAATTTGACATGGATAAACATTTACTTTATTTGCTTAACATGATTCAATCATAAGTGACTGAACCAAGATTGTGAGAGCCTCTTGGATCATTGAAGGAGGTTATAAGGACCGCAAAGGCGATGGCTACAATGATTTGAATCCAAAAACTGGAATTATGACCTCCCTCCCTCCCTCCCTCCCTCCCAAGCATTATCAAATAATATTAAAAAATTAGATGCACAATAACAAGTAAAATTATTCAATTAAAAGCATACCTCGCAGAACACATCCATACCAGATGGACGATCCTTCTCCCACTTCAACATCTCCGATGATGGATGCATTGGGAGCCACGAATGCATCTTTGTAAACGTTTGGTACTTTGTCAAAGATGTTCATGAGCGTCCGATGCCTTGACACTGAAATAATATGAATAAGACAAAAATCCTTTCTGAAAGTCACTGGCCTTGAATTTCTAAACAGTTACATTTTGTAAGTCTCAACATAGAAACCTAACAAACAAAAGGTATTAATATGAAGAATTTACAATGGATAACACAGCGTAGTTTCTGAGCAATTACATGGTCAAATTAGATTAAATTAAACCAAATTTAAAAATCAATATGATGTTAATGGGAACAGACAAAACCCCGTAGAAAGGAACTAGCATGTTTAATATACATAGAACATTATGTATTTCAAATGGTCTGAATTTTTTAAAAAGCACACTATCAAATGAAATTATTTAAAAATGAGTAGCTTTACTTGATGAAATCAACAAATTCTTCACTAAGAAATGGAAAACACGTGTATCTCGGTTACAGTCAATTAATATTAAATTTTGAAAATGTAATAGTTTAGTTTTTGTTAAGGAGAATAGCCTTGCGAAGCAGAATGTAGTTATTGAAATCTGAATCAAAAAGTACAGCAAACAGAATTAAAAATAAAAGAAAATGATAAAAATTAAATATTTACCCTACAGAGCATCAGATAAAGCTAGAGCAATATGCAAGGCTAAAAGTACTATTACACTATTCATATGCTATCGGTATATGATATGTGTCTCATATTACCAGTAATTTCTTATGTTTTCTATAAAATAACTTCATATAGGTATTTCTCATTTGGGAAATTCACATACCTAGCACAATTCTTATGTATTTACATATCTCGCACCTAAACTTTCATATTTACATACATAGCACTTTGGTTCTTTAAACTTAAGCATGAAAAGGTGTATTCAAGTTCAAAAAGTGATAGTAGTGCTATTTTTGATATGATATTAAAGATTTAAGTGCAAGATATGAAAATTTAAGTGTGAGATAAGTAAATACATAAGAATTGTGTGCTGAGTGCGTAATGCCCCTTCTTATTATCACTAAGTCAAAAACAAAGAATTCATTTTTTCATAGCTGGGAAATAGAAGTTTTATTAAAAGTGTCTTTGAAGTATCGTTGATGTTTTGTTGAGGTAAAAACATTGCAAAACACAGCGGCACACCTCAATCAGCTGTCAAGAATGCAGGCGCCATAAAGTTTGATAGTGCATGCTTCGGTGCATCACTTCATCACAATAAGCACAACCCATCTTGAGTGATCCCTTATCCCCACTACATCCAACTTACGAACAAAAGAATTCATATATACCACCCAATTCTTATGTAAATACATATCTAACACCTAAACTTTGATATTTACATTTATACCATTATTATAACTTTTAAAATGTGAAATACACCTTTTTATGCATAGGTAAGATGACATGTATGTAAAAACTGAAGGCTAGGTGTTAGATATGTAAATGCATAAGAATTGAGTGGTATGCATGTAAATCCTCCAAGAATTTTAGGTCAGTTGTTAGTTCTCATGCACTTAACAAAAGCAGCTGTTGACATCACAACAATTTTCTTCCTCGTGTCATCACACGATCCTTCACCTCATGGGACCACACGGACTCAACCCTCAACATTGAGCAAATGCATCTCTCGACCACACAAATGCAGCTGTTGAGCTCATACCCTCCTGTGATTCTTACAAGTTGATTATCTAGTATTTTTCAGGTAAAATTTTTTGGTATTTGCAATGTATATCCTTGATTCTTTCTCCTACCTTCAAATAATTGGATCCTTTAGCTTTTATTTCTCAACCCTCCATTGACTTAAATTTGGGTTCATGATTCACAGCTTTACTCCTTTTCTTGTTTAGGTTCTTCTTTAATGCCTTACCTTTGCAGTTTTACCATCAAAATGATAAATAACGAGTTGGTTTCAAAATAGCCTTTTTTTTCCAAGTGTTGTATTAACCTTTCTTTAATTAGTGAATATTTAAGTCATAGTTTTACGTTAGGTAATTTCATTGATCTTTTAATATGATCTAAGAATGCTCAGTCAAAAAAATATACTTGTATTTACTAGAAATGTTCAAGTATACAAGAAGAGAAGTCCTACATCATAATACACAAATCTTGATGGTTCAAATAATTTGACATAAATATTTACTGTGAAAATATTACAGAACCGCATTTTTTCAAATAAAAAGTATTTGAATGGACCAAGAGATGAAAAGAGGAAGAAAATTGAAGTTTTATGATGGTTCTTGGCAAAGTGAAATTAAAATTGATAATCAAACGTAAATGAAATAAAGTGGGCTCTTCTCAGACATGAAGATATCATCACTATGATAATCAGGAGAATGAAATGCTAATTGTAGCTCTAGGGCATTTGAGTAAAAACATGAGATCGAAAGTATCGATAACAAATAGTTCGAGTTCAAAGGCATCTAAAAAAATATGATGCATATGGGTATTCTTCCAACAATGCAAAAATAAAAATAAATAAATAAAATAAAATGAAATAGCTTAGTAACAAAGAGAGCCTAGAGAATGATAATAGAAAAAAAACTATCAACTCTATAGCAAAATCGTTCTGTCATGACAGCATTTATTCTAATGCAGCTAAGCTCAATAGATTAAAGAAAAAGATTAAAAATACAGGATATTATAAATCTTATCACAAGTTGAGAGTTACTTTTTCAAAAATAAATTAATATCACAAAACAAGAAATACAAAAATATAAGAGGTTTAACAAAAAAGGATAGTCTTATGATAGACAAATGGACTGCTAAAATGAATCAAACTATAATCAATGTCACAATAAATTCATCATCCAAAACTCTTTTTTCATAATGAATTCATACATTGAAACATTAGATGGGTAGATGTTACCATATAAGATGCTTAAGGCTGGGTTAAGATAATAGAAAGAAAATATGATACAAATAATGACAAACATTCACTCGACATATGAAGGAAAAGCAATCAAGTTTAGGCTTTTTGTCAAACAATTTTTATTTAGTCCTAATATCAATTAGCTTCTTACATAGTTGCATTTCCAATTAGCATAAATCCATTTACTCTTATTGATAGCGGAACTATTTCAAAACCAGCGAAAACGGAAATTATTTCATTAATCAACTGAGTTAGGGTTACAAAACACAGCTCAAAACTGAAATAAGATGCAACAAAAACAATTCCCAGCTAGGGTCAGAAGAGACGACTAGAAGGCGGTGGTGGCGTCGGCAAGGTTGCTGAGGAGTAATGGTGGTATGGGGAAGGTAGAATAGGCGGGGAAAGGTGACCGTTGGTTGGTTATGAGGGGACAGGGATAGGGGGCTGATGGCGGGGTTTGGGAGAGGATGCACGGCTAGTAGGATGGTTGGTAGGACAGCAGGGAAAGGTTGGTAGGGTGCTGATTGGAGGCTTGGAGGGGGCCTGGAGGGCTGTACAGCAATAGTTGCTGCCGGTAAGGGATGGCAGGTTGCTGGTAGGTGACCCAGAGGAATAGACAACGATGGTTATTGCAGGATAAAGGATGACAAGGGACTGGGAGGTAGATTGGAGGGCTGGACAGCAATGGCTGCGGCAGTAAAAGGGGGCGGTGGGAAAGCTAGGAGAAGATAGGATGGCGAACAGTTAAAAGAGATGAAGGGGAAGTGGTGGGAGGAAGATAGGAGAGGATACATCACCATCTTGGAGAAGCATACAGCCGTAGTACCATCCGTCCTCAGATAAAGCCGTCGCAAGGAAAATAGAGGGTTATGCAGAAATTTGAAACAACTCACAAAAACATAACCTTAATTCAGCGCGCGTGCACACACACGTATAAATTCTAATAAATGAAATAGGAAGGGGAGGTTTCTCCTTTGGACGGCAACCAGAAAGGAAAAATGAAGAGGAGGCAAAACAGGGGAAATAGGAACACTGGAGCGGTATTTCTTGTCTCTTGGGAGCGAACGACAGGGCCGATCCAGCCTCCTGTTGAACGGATCCAGGCTGAACCAAATGACCGGTTCAGCCTTTTCCCTAAGCCCTGATAAGCCGTTTCCTCTTTCCACCAAGTCTCGTGTGTCTCCCAGCCTTGCGTCAGTTATCCAATTCTTTTACAGATAAATTACGAGAAAAAAAGGAATGGCATTTTTTGTAAATCATGTGCAGCTCATTTCTTCGATTAGATGTTTGAGAGAAAAATCCTGAGTTATGATCATGGCATTGTATTGCACAATATGTGGAAGTTTGGATAAGGAATAAAGCTTTGGAGGTTTGGCACAACTAGGTCGCGAATGTTTTCTAGTCTTTCACCAATTCATTGACAAAAAGGAAGAGTGTAATTAAACTATTTGTTTATGAACATTGGAGAAAGTCAAAATTTATTAATGAACACAAATAGAAGAGGATTTATAAGGATATACTTGTATTATCCTTTTGGAATGAAATTACTTAACTATGCATCAAAGAAGAAAAACAAATTGGTTAAAGTTTTTTGCTTAATGTATGGTAATCAGGCGCTTGTTACGGCATACATGTATTTATTCAACAAAAATGAGAGCAAAAAAAAGAAAATATTTGATGTAATCTTTAAGAGTATGGAAGGATTAAATGGAGCTAGATATCCATGAAACAAGATATTATCTTACGCTTAAGGGTTGTAAGTGAAACAATGCGCTTGATGAACAGCTCGAGCTCGGCTCGATTAATAGTGGATCATGTTTGTTTAAATTAATAAATAAACGAGTTTAAACATTTATTTAAAATCAAAGATTAAATGAACCAAATTTGAACATTATATAACTTCCCTGTTAATGTTCACGAAAACGCTCGTTTGTTGTTTAACAAGTAATTTAGTAAATGTTCTACAATATATGTTATATTATTTAAATAAAACTAAATCAACTATAAGTTTTTTATATATATATTTAATAATATCATATATAAATTTAATGCAAATTTTTCTTATGTTTTAATATCAATGAATTAATTTATTTGTACTTGTTTATATTATTTTATTTACTAAGTATAAACTAATTATATATTAATTTGAAACTATCCAATTATGTATTTATTTAGATTAATAAAATCATTTGTTAATAATTTGATACAAAAAAAATTAAGCATGCATTTAAATTTCTAGCTTATTTATTAGCTTTACATCAAAAATCAAGCACAAATCAAAATTTTTAATTTTATTTAAAATTAATACTTATTCAAATTTTTAGCTTGTTTAATTAATATAAAAAAAGTAAAGTAAAAATCAATTATGAACATTAAAAATTTTAAGCAAGCCAAGTATGAACACATATGTGAAAACTTGACTCAGACTCTAATTGAACATGAACAACTCATGATCCGACCAAGTCATGCCCAATCCATGACATACTAGACTCAATTCAGCTCAAATACAGCCCTAGGTACGCTAGATATATATCAAAACAAATTGAAGATTATAATGAATGAGAATACCATAAAGAGCACTTATCAAGTGATAAGCATATTAATATGAAATGTCAAATTGGATGATATAATTGATATAGAGCTACTAAAATATAATGATATGATAGGTTTATTTTAAAAAGATAATGTCATCAGAGTAGAGACAAAAAATATCCAAATAATAAATCTCATAAAAATATACGCTTCATGAAGATAAAAACCCATAAATATAAAAGAACCTAAAGACTTCTCAAACCTTTAGAATTCCTGTGATAGTTCAAATAATTTCAATATCCTCTAACATCTAATCTAGGCAATGAGTTCTACATTATATTCAATATAATTGTTGTTTCTTTCCACAAGTAATTTACCTATCAAAAAAATTGAAAGAAGTAGCTTAACATATAAAACTGACCACACGATTAAAAAATAATTGTAACAAAACTTTAATACTTCTTTACATGTTGCTTTATAACTGAATGATTGCTTGTGATCACTTGCATCACATTTTCCTCCCAATCACCTTGAGAACAAGCATCTTAAAAAATACCAATCTATAATTTGTATGTTACAATGCATTAACTAATTTTAAAAAAAAATTGAATGGTGAATTTATCATTATAATTATTATAACTTGATTGTTTTATTATCGTCTATCTAACATAAAACAACATTTCTTTTCCAAACTTCTAAGTGGTTTTTCTACTTTCTCTTTTATGCAATCAAGCTAACTTTCGAGAAGAGTAACCCTCAACTTATAATAAGAGAGTGGCTATAATCTCAATCCATAAAACCATGATTCTAAAAATTGGACCAAGGATTGAACCTCATAATGAGAGATTCAAGATTAAAAAATTTAGCTATGGTTGAAACAAGGGTTCAACGAGCTGATTTAATAATATGCAAGAATGATTTATTGTCGATTCAATATATAATATTCTAAATCAAGATGTATCACTCTTTAACATTTTAAATATGATACTAAATTAAAATTTTGGGATGTTATATTTTAAGAAATTGCACTATTTTTAATTTAAGTCTTTTTATTTTAATCTAGTCGACCAGAAACAAAAAAAAAAAAAAAATTGATCAATAGTAAAATCAAGCAGTCCATACAAGTTGAAACTGCATCACCAGTTTCCAATTCAGCCGTAAATTTTAACTAGCCCTAGTTAGCTTTTTGCAAAAACAATTTTGGAAAAATAACAAACTGGCCGAAGGACTAATTCACAATTGAATCAAAATTAGCTGACCGGTCTAGTTCTATTTTTAAAACCATGCATGACACCCAACTTTTTCAAACCTCTCCTTTAAGCTATTCAACTAAATAGCAATAAAAGAGATAATAGCTTTATAAAAACATCTGCTAGAGAACGGTACTCAACACCATTTTTCAAAGCTCTAACTAATGCAAATCTTAGGGGTGTCAATTTAGGTCAGCGGGATCGGGTTTGGGTTTGACCCGAAAATAATCCGCCTGAATAATAAATGGGTCAAAAACTAAGACCCGAACCCGAGTTTGACCCGCTAACTCGAGCCCAACCTTAAATTTCATGCTTATTTGGGTCATGTTTTGATTTTCGGGTTCAACCTGAACCCAATCCAAATAATAAACAAGCGAATTCTCTGACTCAAACCCGACTTAAAAAATATTCGGGACAACCCAAACCCGAATTTTCGAGTTGATTTCAAGTAGGGTTGGCATGTCGGGTCAATTTTTGAAACCCCGAGACAAACAACTTGTTTCATCTTGGCTATTTTAATTTCTTTTGCATTACTAGAAGGAAAGCAATTATCTAAAGAACATTTTCATGATGCCTCAGAACTTGTGCTATTTATTCCAAATATTATCATTCTCACCTTAGTTAGAGCACCACAAAGCTTTCATCATCATTTCATCCTTCCAGTGATCGCTAATTATACATTCATATATGTGCAAAGCATGCTATGTTTCATTACTTTTGGCTTCTAACTAAGTAATTCTTTTTGCACTTTATGAAAGACTTCTTACAACCTTCGTCGTTCTTTCTTTCCACTCTCCTGGACTAATCAAGTGCTCCTTAGCTCAGTAAACATCATCATTTATAATTTTTCCACAAATATACTTAGTCACATTATTTGAATAAACAAGTTGTTAATATTTTTTTCTTCTTTTATGGTAGATCATTTTAAATACATGTAAAACTTATTTTTTGATTAACCGCCGTAAAATTAGATTGAAACATTAAATCAACAATGGTAAAATAGCAAACCATTATGAAATTAAACTATAAGTCTACAACAAAAAAATTCAATAATTAAACCAAGAAATAAAAATGTGCATGAATAGTTTCAAAAAATTTTGAAGAACATCTCAATAATGCCAAATAAATGAGAATATCATACAAAGCAAAGGGCATCTAGCAGCATAGAGTCATAGAGAGATACTAAAAAAAGGATTAAAGCCATGGATCATAAATAAAAAAAAGCCAACAAAAAGTTGTGAAAAATAAAAATTTAATAGAATCAACGAATCAAGCAATCTAAAAGTACGAAAAAGAATTTAAGAAAAGCAATGCAGGGAAAATTTTTACCTAAATATTATTTGAAAATCAGTCCACAAGTGAAGTTAGTTGGTAGTGGACTGGAAATGACAAAGTAATGTGGACTTAATGTGGATATGGCAAGTGAGAGCTCTAGTGTTATGGATGATGAGGTCAAGTGGGCTTTTTTAGGTGTGGAATATGGGAGACGCAAAAAAGTGTTCTAATTGTATTTAGGATGGTAAAAGAGAGTGGTGGGCTATAGATTAGGGTATAAGGTTCTAGGGAAAGTAAAGGAAGACCCACCTCCTTTCTACGTTCTCTATACTTGTTACTTATCTTAAAAATTAATTTAACAACTCGTGATGGATTTTCACGGAATATCCAATTCATATGTTATTTTTCTAACCAATTTTCCAACACCCCATCTCACATCTTCTTGTACGACTCATTTTGATTCCAATACGACTTCTACGATTGTAAAACTTCTTTTGTTATTAAGCAACAAGATGTATTAAGTGAAAGAAGCTCCCAGCAACACAAGCATTGGGCGTTGAGATATGAATCATACTCAAAATTATGTAGTAAGAGGAGCTCCTACAAATGCAGGCATGGTGGAGGGGTTGAGGTATGACCTTACCTTATATTATAGAGATCTTATTTCCATGACTCAAAATGCATGGAATCCAGGCCAGAATAAAGCTAATCTAACCCCAATTCGATTGTTTGCAGTACACCATTGTTATAAATACTAGGACTAAAATATATATCCTCCATGTCTATAAGATCCAACAGAACTAATTTGTAAAACAAAGCTGTAAAACAAAGCAAAGCTACTCCAACATCTCCTACATTCAAATCTCAAGAGATGTCTTATATGAACTAAACTTCTACCTGTATACATCTTCATTAGAGCTAACTCAAACTTATTATAATGAATCATTTAATATACTTTATGATTCTACTCCTTATGAGCTTCAACAAAAATTTGTTTCCTAAAACTATTGTTTAGTCATTTCTCTACTAATATTCTCATCCTTTCTTAATATCTACATTTTAATCTAAATATATATTATCTTCGCTTCCAATACATCAAATTTGATTAAATCTCTAAAACTCCAATTTCTCGTGTTGGACACTTTACCTCCTTTTTTCTGTTCCTTAATATATAGCCTATTGAACAATACAACAAAACGTGAAGGCTTTCTTTTTACTTACTATCCTTTATGAGGTCTTGATAAACTCTTACTTTCGGTACATTATGTATATCTTTTTTGTTCCTTAATATATAGCCTATTGTACAAATCAACAAATGCATGCATGTTTTTTTTCTTTAAATGTATCCTCAATTAAAGGTGTTACTCGCTCAATTCAATTATCCACACAAATCACAAAACTTATCATAATCTCGGATTCAATCTGTTTTTGGAAATTCAATCCCACTAATAGGATCCAGTTAACATTGTGAGCAGCTCGACCAAAAAAATAACCGCTTAATGCAAAAGTGCAGTAAAATAACAAATCCTTAAGTCTGATAATACCAACCCCAGCACAATCCTTTAAAATCCGTGAGAATTACATGTTTTCACAGCATTGAAGGTTACATTAAGAATTACCGGGGAGTTTAAAATGTAAGAAATGATTTGATGAACCAAAGAAACAATGTTATTTGCTATCAATTTATTCGACAACATAAGCATACAATGTAAATCTTCCTTGCCCTAACGATGATATTTTCAATCAAATTCTTCTCTCCCTAGGGGACCAAAATGGCGTATAAACATGTAATGAGGACTCTAAACAAATCGAATCCATTTGCAAACTTAACGAGCCCAGTAACACCGCCACAAATGATTCACTCACCCATAGCCTTACTGAACCATTCGCTTCAAACGGATCCCTCTCACTTAGATTCCGGACAAGAAAAACGCAGAAATTCAAATTAGCATAATATTTGAAACAACAATCCAACATTTAAGGACGAAAGTAAGAGAAAAGCTCACGCTGCTCCTGGAAAAAGTAGTTGCCCTGAAGGCGGCATCCGAGCCGATCGATGGCCTGGCCGGTCTCCCGAATCCAGAATCCAACGGTGTAGATCGCTCTCCCAAGGGTCCCCATACTCCACGGCGAAGTACTTCGCCTGAATCGATGTTGGTTCTTGAGAGAACTACGAGAGAAAACAAGGGGATGAGCTCAGAGGAACGAGGCTGGCAGCGTGGCTGAGGGCAAAGGGATCTCGCTGGAAGTGAAGGTGCAATTACAGTAATGCCCATTTCATTCTTTTCTTTTTAATGAATGTGAAATTAGCTAGCTTAGGCGGCTCATATTCGGGAATTTTTATTCGGTACGTGCACCGCATGAAGCCTTACATGCGGTACCGAATAAAAATTCGCCACGTGGAATGCGATTCCACGTGGCTTTACAGCTTAAAAATAAGCTTTTTCATGTATTCCGACCCGACGTATCCCGCCCAAAACAAAAAAAGCGCTTTTTTGTCATTTTCGATTCCCGCCAACAGAAGAAAGTGACATTTTGTCTGCTTTAGGGTATTGGTATCTGGTATATTCTCATTTTTTCGCTCATGTTCGCTGGAGCTGGTTCGATGGAAAAAATTTTCGAC